CAGCATCTGCACAGAGTATAAGCTCAGTAAATACGAGTTGAAAAAATTCAATGAAGGGATGAAGCACTCTGCTGAAAAGCCTCTCCTTCCCTGAACCCCCTGCTAGTCTTCATTACTATCAATAGAGGGCAGCAAAGACCCTGAGTTATCTACCGTCTAGCGTTTATGCTGGGAAAACTCCAGAGAGCGTATTTCCCTTTGCCAAATAGTAGACGTGGTTTTATCAGGAATTTCAGGAAAATGTCCAGCCTTACAAACTCTTTCTTCTCCTTGTTCCTGAAGCCTTCTCCGCTCTGTACCATTTATAGATTTTTTTTTTTTTTTTAAGATTTCGGGCTGACAACACTCCTCAGGAAAGGAAAGCAGATGCTATACTGACTAAGCCAAAAAGAAACCCAGTGGCCTGGAGCCTCTCCCTTTCTGCCTGACAAGTTAGTGTTAGCTGTTTGGGACTTAAGGATTTACAGCTCTCCCTTATGGTGTGTGGGGAGGAGCAGATACCAGCTAGGCAGCTGCTGTTTGTGTTTGGAGCACCTGTAAGAGCCAAGGGTGTGGGTTTATACTTCTGTCTTCTGCTTGTATGTTTCTGCTTATTCCAGCTCCTCTTTTTATTGAACAGTCCCCCCACCCAGGGCAAGAACCTCACGGCCTCCTGCCTCTGTGGGCTCCTGCACCAAGAGTGCCCGCTGAACCCAGGTAATCGGCCGCAGAATCAGCAGCCACACACATTCTAAGGAATGGTGTTTTCATTGACTCTCTGCCCCACAAATACTGCCTGAGCCCTATGACTTACCAAGCCTGGGTCTGTTCTTCGTGGGTACAGATACTCCACTTGATTAAAAGAATAGTTGCCAGAATCAAAAGGGTGGCAGAGGTTCTCAATCTCAGCAATACTGACATCTTGGACTAGATAGTTCTTTGTTGTGGGAGCATCCTAGGATGTTTCACAGCATCCCTGGCCTCTGCCCATGAGATGCAGGTAGCACCGACCCCCTAAGTTGTGATAACCAAAGATGTTTCCAGACATTGCTAAAAGTCCCCCTGGGGGCTGTCCACTTTCCACCCAAAGCTTGAAAACCACGATCTTAAAGATCATGATGGATAACTTTGGGGATATGTTTCCAGCCTGGGTCAATGACCCCTTTCTCTTAGCACTGTCTCTCCTCCCTGCCCCATGCCTGGCTGCTGGGACCTGAAGCCTATGGACTTGGTACATTGGTCATCTGACCCAACTTAGGCCTCTCAGCTTCTCTCCTGTGGGAATTTGAAACTAGGACCTAGGGACTGACTACCACCTGGGTTCTTTGGGGGTCAAGACTTGAACGCAAATTTAGAAGAGTGGAAGAACGTAGGCTACCATCGGGCCAGCAAGCAGAGATATCCTACTGCAGAGAGAATGAAATAACTCCAGAGAAACACAGAGGAAGAGGCAGGGAGAAGTCACCTAGTTCTAGCATTTTCCAAACAGGCCAAATTTCCTGCCTTTGGGTTGTTTAAGATAGGCCTGTACAATTATAACTAATTGCTCTTTCATGCTAGGGCAGTTTCTTATTTGTTTGTTCTGTAACTGGCAAATGAGTCCCAACTGGTATGTTCTCTGTGGCCTGGAACTGAAATCATAACCGGGAAACAGGGGATCTAGGCATTTGAGGGACAGTGTCTAGCCCTCAAGGCAGCCCCACCCTTCTTGGCACAGGTGCTATGTTCTCCTTTCCCTACCAGATGACTTCCTCACCCTCTCTGTAGAGTTTTCTCTTGTCCTAACCTTGGTCTGTACACAGCCTGGCATGCCATGGCCTAGACTCAGCTTCTTGTTGTCCATTCACCAAGAGCATGAATGCTAACACCAAACGCAGGCCAGGTTTCTTGGCTCAGATTCCTGGCCAAGTGAGTCTGACTGGCTCATATGGCAAACATGGTTGGCTGCCCATCCAACAACCATCCCTCCCAGTCAGTTTTGTTCAGGAGAACAACCCCAAATGGTGAACTAAATTGGTTTGGAAGGGCAAAGAGATGTAAGAGGAATCTTCAGGAAAGGTGGGGAGGTTTAGGGGAAAACATTTTATACTTGATCCCGGAGGGCAAAGCCTATGGAAGAGTCAGCCCCAGCACTTCCTGCCGGCTTTGGACATGTCATGTGAGGACGTGATACTTGAAGCTGTGGTAGCCATTTTGCAACCATGAGAAGTAAAGCCAAGAGAGCTAGAGAGGAACTGGCAGAGGGCTATAAAATTCTTGAGCTGACGAATTAACCAACCCTGGAGCCATTTACCTTTAGACTTCTTGTCACAGGAGATAATTAGATGTCCTTACAGTTTTAGCAACTTTGACTCAGGTATCCTGTTACTTGAAGCCCAAAGGATCCCAGCAGATACAGTACAGCTCATCTTTTCAGGCCAGGTCACTCAGGTCCTAGGTCACTAGCTGGCTACCCTACAGATTTATTGCCTTGGAGTCATGTACCTATACCTCCAGTCCATGTGTTTATCTCCCACCCAACCTCTTATTATGAAAACTTAAAAACCTACAGAGAAGTTGAGAAAATAATACAATGAACGCTTATATAGGATTCATTCATCAGTTGTTAACATTTAGCTACATATACTACATACATTGTACATATTCCCCTATATAAGGACTTTTTTTTTTTTTTTACTGAATCATTTCAAATTTAGAGACTATGAAGCTTCACCCCAAAGAACTTCAGGATATACCTCCTAAAAAACAAGGACTTTTTTTTTTTAAAGATTTTTATTTATTTGACACAGAGAGACACAGCGAGAGAGGGAACACAAGCAGGGGGAGTGGGAGAGGGAGAAGCAGGCTCCCCGCTGAGCAGGGAGCCCGATGCGGGGCTCGATCCGGATCATAACCTGAGCCGAAGGCAGACGCTTAACGACTGAGCCACCCAGGCGCCCTAACAAGGACATTCTTCTAAATAACCAGTAATATCCTTTGGAGCTTTTCTGGGTTTGTCTTTGTTTTTGTTTTTGTTCTTATCCAGGATTCATCAAGAATTAGATGCTGTTTTAAAGTCATCCTACAGTCCTTTATTCCAAAACAATTCTCCTGTTTTGTTTTGTTTTTTTTTGTCTTTCCTGTCATTGACTTTCAGGGCCAGTTTTTTATTTACTTATTCATTTTTTAAAAAGATTTATCTATTTATTTTAGAGAGAGAGAAAGAGAGAGTGCAGCAGGGAGGGACAGAGAGAGAGGGAGGGAGAGTCTTAAGTAGACTCCCCACTCAGTGTGGAGCCCAACGTGGGGCTCAATCTCACAACCCCAAGATCATGACCTGAGCTGAAACCAAGAGTCAGATGCTTATCCAACTGAGCACCCAAGTGCCCCAGGCCAGTGTTTTTATAGAATGTCCACAATTTGGGTTGTCTGGTTGTTTCTTCATTATATCCATTTAAAGATTTTCAGCAAAAACTCTGCAGAGGTGAGACTGGGTCCTTCTCAGTGCATCACAGCAAAAGGCACACGATGCCATTGTGTTCTTTCATTGGTCACGCTAAGTTTAATCAGTTGATTGAGGTGTTGTCTGGTAGAACTCTCCGTCGTAAAGGCATTTCTTTCTCCTTTGGATTAATAAGTAACCTGAGGGTTTGTACTTTGAGACTATGAGAATATCTCATGACCCCACAACTTTCAGCCACGGTTTTAATCAATAAGGCTTGCCTGAATCAACTATTATATTAGTGATTGCAAAAATCACAATTTTAAAAAATTCTAACATTTTTTTTCTACATTCATTACCTGGCACTCCACTGTTTAAGAAAGTTTTCTCTTCCCTCACACACACTTTTGCAATTTTATTTTTAAGATTTTATTTATTTATTTGAGAGAGAGAGAATGAGAGATAGAGAGCATGAGAGGGAAGAGGGTCAGAGGGAGAAGCAGACTCCCCGCCGAGCAGGGAGCCCGATGTGGGACTCAATCCCGGGACTCCAGGATCATGACCTGAGCTGAAGGCAGTCGCTTAACCAACTGAGCCACCCAGGCGCCCCCACTTTTGCAATTTTCTTGAGTATCATGATGAACTCAGAATATTCATTACCACTTTCTTTTTGATTTTCAGTTTGTCCCAAAGTTGTCCCCTTCAAAGCGGGAGCCCCTTTGAATTGGTTTCTGTATCCTTCTGACACATTCCTATCTGTTTTTGAGCACTTCTTTGCTCTTCTAGCAAAGGAAGTCCCAAGCTCATCTTGTACTTTCCTTGACCCAGACCTGGGATCAGACCTGGTTCTTTTCAGTGAGAAACAGTTGTTAGAAACCAAGAACTGAGTGATAAGAGTGCTCATGGCAAGTGGGGTGTCACTGGTTCTAGGCCCTTTCAGGGGACAGAGCCAGGAAGTGTATTTTATTTTATAGATTTATTTATTTGACAGAGAGAGAGAGAGAGAGTGCACAAGCAGGGGGAGCTACAGGGAGAGAGGGAGAAGCAGGCTCCCCGCTGAGCAAGGAGCCCAGTGTGGGGCTCTATCCCAGGACAAGGGGGATCATGACCTTAGCTGAAGGCAGACACTTAATGACTGAGCCACCCAGGTGTCCCGCCTCTGTCTGTCACCAACATTAGTATATTTGCTCATTTACTGCTCTCTACAATACACTGAATAGTATCAGAATTACTATGTCTATACCACAACAAACTTACTGACAAAGTACAAGATTATTTGCAGTTTTTATTTTATCCTGAGAATATAGCTCACTAAAGGTAATGGTGTGTCTAAAAGCCTCTAAACCTTGAAATAAGTTCATTTGTTTCTCTTCACATTAGGGTTTTCCTCTCCATGTTGATTTCTTTCTTTTGTTTTTCTTTCTTTGTGGTAGTGGGCTTTTTATTATTTTTATTTTTTAAATTTTATTATTTTTATTTTTTTCCAATTTTATTGAGATATGGTTGACATTGTGTTAGTTTCAGGTGAACAACATAATGATTTGATATATGTATATATTGCAAAATGATTACCACAATAAGTTTAGTTAACATCCATCATGAAAATATGGAACACCTCATGAAGTTACATATCATGTTTGGACAAGGACCATGCTATTCTTCTCTGTATCATTCCACTGTTAGTATATGTGCTGCTGAAGGAAGTGCTAATATGATTTTTTAATATGTAAAACAGTACCATAATTCAAAAGTCAAAATCATATGAAAAGGTAACTCAGAGAAGCTTTCTTCAATCCCCATACATAACAAATTTTATTAGTTTCTGGTTTATCCTTTCTTATTTGCAAAAATAAGCAAATACATACATATATGCATATACATACATATGTCCTTATTTTGCCTTCTTTTTTATTCAAATGGTAGTATATGGTATATACTTCTTTGCATGGTATTCTTTTCACTTCCTATTGTTCTGTATTACATATATGCAAGTCTTTCATAGCACTAATTTTTCTCTGTGTGGTCTATTTTATTTGCTTTCTCAAATATATTTGTACTTACTTTATTTTAATGATGAGTTTGTTGTTGTTGTTGATGTTGTTGTTAAATAGACTCCACATCCAGCCTGGAGCCCAACACAGGGCCTGAACTCACAAGCCCGAGATCAAGACCTGAGCTGAGATCAAGTGTTGGACGTTTTAACCAACTGAGCCACCCAGGTATGCCTTTAATGGTTAGTTCTGTATTAAAGCTAAAATAACCTTAGTTTCCCCCCCACACACACACACCATCTTATTTTTGTTATTATCTATTGGTTCCCCAACAATATTTAGTTAATAATTTCTTTCCTGCCATCCCAATTTACCAGCTTCTCACTTGAATAAATATCCTTTTACCCCATCAGTAACTATAAAACAATCAACAAGTATATTCTGTTTTTCAAGTGGGGTGTGCATGTACTTTTCTTATAACCATCATAGTTTTATGGGTAATTACATATTTATGCTCATCAATAGTCCTTTAGTCAATGTCTTTCCCTTTTGGTTGCCTAAAAAACCTTTCCTCATGAAAGGCACATGGGAGCTATGTTCTCCGATTCTCTCATGTTCATAACTTTTAACATGTTGTCTAGATATAAAATCTTTGCCTATGTTTCCCTTCTTTGAATATTTTCAACATGTTGCTCTATTTATTCTGGAATAAAGTCCAAAGACAATCACTTAAGTCATGATATATTGACTAAATGCCCAAATGACTTTTTTTTTTTTGTAAACTCCAGACATCTTTTAGAATATATCTTGACAATGATTATTCAGTACTGATTTCCTAGGTACTAGTGTCAAATCTCTATTTTTCAGGAAAGTTTTCTTAAATGTTACCTTTTTAAAATTTAAATTACTTTTTAAATTTCCATTACTTTTTATTTTCTTCTTTGTACTTCTAATAGGAGATTATTCAACCTATGTGTATGTGTGTTGATATTCTTTGCTCACCTTCTATATCTACCACTTTCTCTTAAATCTCTTTGATTTGTTGAAATTCACTCCTTTCATCTCCTATTTATTTTAAGTCATTATCTCCTATATTTATTCACCTTTAGATTCCATTTTAGTCTCCATTTCTCAAATAATATTAATTCTGAGTTCTCCTACCTCATTTCTGAGATTTTTCTAATTTTGATTATAGTCCTTTCTTATTTAGTGTTTTACTAGTTTTTAAGCTCATCTTGAAATAATAAGTTATATTTTTCAGCTGTTGTATAAGCATGTCTTTCTGATATGTTTTCATTGCTGGACTGTTATGTGTTTTATTGTCTTTTTTTCTATGATAAATTACTGTTAGATTTTTTTTTCCCAGTTTGAGATACAATTGACCTATAATATGGTGTAAATTTAGGGTATACAATTCAATGATTTTATGTACGTATATATTATAAAATGTGAAAATTGTAAATGTAAAAAAAATTACAAAAAACTTGTCAAATGTAAAAAGTTAACACATCCAGCTACATGTTGGATTTGAACACAATCTAATACTATTGTTTCTTTTTATATGAATTCAGTTTTTCTTTATGAAAAAGGGGTGAATCAGGACAACTTTTCTGGCTTCAGTGCTCTAGGTCTTCCTCTTACGGCATCCTCACAAAGAAATCTTTTTTTAATGGCCTTACGCTTTCTGAGATGTGATTCCTCTGCTCTTTCATTTAGACTTTCTTTTTCCTTTCTTCTACCCTGTCCTTCCCCATTTGGATTCTACTCTCAGAACTCTCCCCTTGGTGTGAGACTTTCTCCTGAAAAGGAGCTTTGTAATTTTGGGAAGTTCACGGAGCCAAGACTATACCAGCTCCTTCAGATCTTAGCTTGGACCCGACCCAGCCACAGCTTTGTTGGAGCGTGCAAAACTCCTCCTCATTCCAGTTGTTCTCAAATTGCTTCACTCTGCATTTCATTGTCAGTTTTAGAGTTCTCAGGTCTGTCAGCTACCTGCTGCTTCCTCCTGCGACATGGATAGACACTGCGTCCTTAGTTATTGGTAGTTTTCCTTCACCTGCTCGTATTTTGGGGTTTATGAAGATACCGTGTTCATCTAGATTTTTTAAGATGTTGACAATGGGCCTTGGATTTTGCCATTAGAGTTTATCTGTCTTTTTTTTTTTAAGGGGATTTCAGAAGATTTAAAAACCTCACTGCCCCTGCTACCATCTTCCCATCATTTCCATTGATTTATTTGTTCATTCATTTATTCAGCAAGTAAGTTTGAGCCCTGAATTGTAATCTTATGCCTCTGCCTATTCTCTTGGTGCCATTAACTTCAGGATCCTGCTGCATGTAATTACCTGATTCCACTTAAGCCCAGAGGTATCTGCCACCTTGGGCTGATCATTCATTACTGAGAGAAGTCAAGAACTCTCTTCCCCACTACCTCTGTGCAGCCAAACCGGAGAGCTACATGTCCTGTGTTTCTTGCTTCTCTTGCCACATCTGAACTTTACTATAAAAGCATAGTGTATTGGGGCGCCTGGGTGGCGCAGTCGGTTAAGTATCCAACTCCTGATTTCAGCTCAGGTCATGATCTCAGGGTTGTGAGATGGAGCCCCAAGTAGGGCTCTGAGCTCAGCGTGAATCTGCTTCTCCCTCTCCCTCTGCCCCTCCCCACTCCTGAAATAAATAAAACAAACTCTTAAAAAAAAAGCATAGTGAATTTAATCTAGCTTCCCAAATGGCTACTAAAAGGATTGCATGAGGTAACTTGAGGCATAAGAGAGTTAACTCTCCTTGGGGCAAACCATGACTAGTGGGAAACAGAAAAAAGGATGGAGCTGGGCAGATAGATTCCCTCTACCTTCTTCCTACCTGGGACTGACTATTACAAGGCACATGTTCTTTGTTCTGCCTATCCTGAGATACCCATGGGGTTCACTAAGGCACCATCTGCCAGCCAAGGAGTGCTCCATGGCTGGAGCTCCACTTGGAGGAGGTGCCTATTCTAATTCACACAAGAGTCAGTTATAGGCTGATGCTGCCCACTGGAGTGTAGAGATGCATGAACAATGATGAGCACCTAGAACAAGCAATAGGAACTGGGAAATCATTAAATCATCACCCATCACCCAGTTCCTTCTAGTGTATCTTTGCCAGATGGTCCACACTCTGCTGAACTGATCCCTATGAGATGTTCACTATGTCATTTTTAGCTTTGTTTGAAACTTCTCCCTTTTTCTGTTTATTAACTTTTAACTTATATTTATTGATCTATAATTTGATGTTTTAATATATATGTTATATTAAAATAAACTATAATTATATATAAGCTATATACAAGTATATAAACTACAAATAAAAATACAAACTATAAATTATAATTTATATTATAATAACATTAACTATAGATATATATAACTATAACTATATACAATAAGTATAAATTATAATATATACTATAGTATATATAAATTATAAATATAATTTTAAATTAATATACACTATAGTATATACTATACATTATACATATTACATATTATATACTATATATAATTATAATATAAGCTATAATTTATAATTTAATCTGTAATTAAACCTTTTTTGGTGTAAAATTAAATGGGTTCTGATGGGGAAATCCAAATCAAAACCTCAATGAGATACCACCTCACACCAGTCAGAATGGCTAAAATTAACAAGTCAGGAAACGACAGATGTTGGTGGGGATGTGGAGAAAGGGGAACCCTCCTACACTGTTGGTGGGAATGCAAGCTGGTGCAGCCACTCTGGAAAACAGTATGGAGGTTCCTCAAAAAGTTGAAAATAGAGCTACCATACGATCCAGCAATTGCACTACTGGGTATTTACCCCAAAGATACAAATGTAGGGATCCGAAGGGGTACGTGCACCCCAATGTTTATAGCAGCAATGTCCACAATAGCCAAACTGGTAAGAGCCAAGATGTCCATCGACAGATGAATGGATAAAGAAGATGTGGTATATATACACAATGGAATATTATGCAGCCATCAAAAGGAATGAGATCTCGCCATTTGCAACAACGTGGATGGAACTGGAGGGTGTTATGCTGAGTGAAATAAGTCAATCAGAGAAAGACATGTATCATATGACCTCACTGATATGAGGAATTCTTAATCGCAGGAAACAAACTGAGGTTTGCTGGAGTGGTGGGGGGGTGGGAGGGAGGGGGTGGCTGGGTGATAGACATTGGGGAGGGTATGTGCTATGGTGAGCTCTGTGAATTGTGCAAGACTGTTGAATCACAGATCTGTACTTCTGAAACAAATAATGCAATATATGTTAAGAAAAAAAAAGAAGAAGAAGATAGCAGGAGGGGAAGAATGAAGGGGAATAAATCGGAGGGGGAGACAAACCATGAGAGACGATGGACTCTGAAAAACAAACTGAGGGTTCTAGAGGAGAGGGGGGTGGGGGGATGGGTTATCCTGGTGATGGGTATTAAGGAGGGCACGTTCTGCGTGGAGCACTGGGTGTTATACGCAAACAATGAATCATGGAACACTACATCCAAAACTAATGATGTAATGTATGGTGATTAACATAACAATAAAAAATTTTAAAAAATGGGTTCTGATGAATGCACATACAACTGTGTGACCACCAACACAATAAAGTACAAACATTTGCATCACTCCAAAAAGACCCTTTTTACTACTATATAATCAGTCCCCTCCTCTTAACACACGG